TGCCCGTTGCTGGTTGGCTAACTAGCAACAGGGTCTTGCCAGCCAATGGAATTGTGTGATTACAAGCCAGGGGAATCCCATAAAAGAGGGCTCCCCTGGCCCAGAGAGCCAGTCCGGATTTACCTTATGCCTTGCCAATAAACCAAGAGCTGACTGTCACTCGACTCGTGTCTTACTGCCTGCGCGATCTAACACATTGAAGTCCAAAATCTGAGTCTTGTTTGCACTTGATATCATTATTTAGTGTTCTGTTAGTATCAGGCAAGTTCATCACATCATATCAGTGTTATCACCACCCAGATTTGCTTCAACATCAGATGACTGGCAAATAATTTTAATAAATAAAATAAATAAATAAATAAAATCTTCACTTAAGTATTCAAACTGAGCCATAGTTAAAAATTTCAGTTCAAATATTCTTAGTTTGCTGCTTACAATACTTTATTTAAGATCTTGGAAAATGGTCTTGGAAAAACTCTTTTAAAAATTTACTGTTCTCCTAATTTATTGATCTTACCTTTAACCCCTATTCAATTCATTTCCATATTTGTTTGTTTCTTTTCTAAACCACTCATCTCCCCTACAAGGTGACTCTGGGGCAGCTACATTTGAATTTTTATACTGTATTTTTTTAAAAAATGGGAATTGTTTTAGGTTCCTGGCTCTGCTCTCCTAGATTTTACATTTACATGACAATATATCATTTTGCCTTAAAGATACTGGCTTTGTTTCGGAATCCAAAGGACACAGCTGTATCTTACTTCCATTTTTCCAAAGGCATCAAATTGATTTCTGACCACGAAACCTGGGATGAGTTCTTGGAAGCTTTTATCACTGGAAAAGGTATGCTTGGTTCTCTTTCTGTATTGGGAAAAAATAAATTATGACTGAAATAAGGAGGGGAAAGGACTGCAGAGAGCCCATGGCCTTATTCTTTTGGTCCCCTGTACCCTCCATCTGTCTGTGGAGGAGAAGCAAGATTGCTTTGGATAAAGAGCTCTTTTTGTTCTGTTTGTTTTTCGATACTGAAACTTATTTCCATTGCTTCAGTATAAAGCAACAATAGTTCCATCTTTCATTTCATACGCCAGAGTTCACATAACAGACTTAAACCTGGATTAACTGCACATTAGCCTAATATTTGTTATGCCATGCTATGACCCCTCCATCTGAGTGTGGTTGACTACATTTGAAATGACATATTGTCATACACCATAAACAAAAATTGGAATTATACATTCTGAATGAATTGAAAACCATTCACTTTTGGTGAACATGTTACTTTCCGTAAACAGGTGAGGCAATCTAATGAACAGTCATTATTAATAAACAGGGGCTTCAGTGACTGGGAAGCTGTCAAAAATGTCAAGAGAATGGATGCAACTATGTGGTGAAATCCTGTGTCTTTTAAAAAATGTGTTGTACGTGTAAAAAAGAAACATCAGGGTTTTGACTGAGTGGTCATAAGTTTTCGATTCCTCCTATACATGCCTCTGTTAGCCAAGAAACCCAACAATATAACAACAGCAGCAGCAACAGCAGCAGCAGCAATAATAATAATAATAATAATAATAATAATAATAGCCCCCCAGTAAGGCACTACCTTGATGTGATTGTGGGGCTTGTGTGCTCTGAGGAAGATGAGAGCTATTCCAAAGATTCAACCATATGGATATGTCTCATCAGAGGAGTCAAAGAATGTCTCTCCCATAAAATATATGGTGAGATGTAAATTACAGAAAGCCATACTGGCTCGGATGTCCCCTGGGTTAACAAGGTCCAAGCTAGATGTTGGAGTTCCTGGATATCTGGTGAAAAATGGGCTACAGGACTCAGGACTGTTGGCTGAGCAACCAGGGCCAGCAGCTGCAGAACTAAAGGAAGAAAATGTGTTTACCTATCGCAAATACACAGTGATTGAAAACAAAGAAATAATCATCTGTTATGCAGATCAAGTCCAAGAAACAAACCAACTAATGTACAGCACAGCTGCAATTATACCTGAATATCTGGGATGCAAAATCAACAAAGAAGAAAAAAAACAGAGCAGTGCACCACAAAAATGGAAGATTGGACTGAAAAATAAGATCAGCAAGTTGAAATCAGATGCAAGCAAGCTAGAACAGATGAACGAAAAGAAGCTGAAGAACAAGAAGACCGAAGAACACCTAATCAAGAAATACCACTTAAAACAAGGAAGATCAAGGAAATAATAAAGCAGCAAATAACAACTATAGCCAAGAGGATCAACAGATATGAAGCCTTAATTGCAAATTATAGGCAGAACCTCCAATTTCAATCCAATCAAAAATGTTTCTATTAATCCATCAATGGAGAAACTGCAGTGAATCAGTCAGTACCTGACAAGGAAGAAAGAGTGCAGTTCTGGGCGCAGATATGGGATAACCCAAAGAGATACAAGAACACAGCTTGGTTAAAAGAGGTGGATAAAAGTAAAGAAGAAGTTGAAATGAAAGAACTAGTAATAACAGCAGAAATGGTAGAGAAAAGAACAAGGAAGATCAAGAATTGGTCAGCACCAGGTGAAGATGAACTGCATGGTTTTTGGTTGAAACATCTAACTCAGGGGTCTTCAAACTTGGCCCTTTTATGACTTGTGGACTTCAACTTCCAGAACTCCTCAGCCAGCATGCCAAGTTTGAAGACCCCTGATCTAACTGGTCTATACCCACTTGTTGCCAAGCAATTTAACAACATACTACAAAGAGGTGAAATTGGAGAGTGGCTAACATCTGGGAAAACCTACCTGATAATGAAAGATCCAGCAAAAGGGGCAGCACCAGGTAACTACAGACCAATTACTTGCTTACCAACAACTTTCCAATTACTAATTGGTATGGTAGCTGATGCAGTCCAATAGCATCTAATTGAAAACAATCTCTTTCCGCCTGAGTAGAAAGAAAACCACCTCAATAGCAGAAGAACAAAACATCAACTCCTAATTGGTAAAATTATTTTGGAAAACTGCAAGAGAAGGAAGACCAATCTGAATGTAACATGGATTGACTACAAAAAGGCATATGATTCTCTGCCACATGACTGGATAATCAAATGCCTAGAAATAACAGGAGTCAGTAGAAACATCAGAAATTTTGTGCAAAAACCGATGGCACAATGGAAGACACAGTTGCAGGTCAATGGTGAGAGACTGGAAAAGGTTAATATCAAGAGAGGAATATTTCAAGGATATTCACTATCAATACTACTCTTTGTCATTGCACTGAATAACTCTGGCTGGAGCTATCAAACATCAAAAACATCTGCCAGACTATCCCACCTCCTGAGGCTGTATGAAAAAACACCATCTGAAATAAAATGGCTGCTCAACACTGTCCATATATATATATAGCCAAGATATTACAGTGCCACACTCACTATCAAACAAGGAAAAATAGTGAAAAGTGAAGGAATCAAGATGCCCCATGAAAATAACATTAAGAGTCTGGATGAAGATGATTATTACAAATACCTGGGTATCCTTCAAGCTGACAACATCAAGCACACTGAAGTCAAGAAAAAGTTTAGAGGTAACACATCAAGAGAGTGAAGAAGATCTTAAAGTCCAAACTCAATGGAGGAAATGCCATCAAGACAATCAACACCTGGGCAATTCCAGCCATTAGATACACAGCTGGAATAGTGGACTTGACTCAAGCAGAACTAAAAGCAATGGACAAGAAGACCAGAAAAACAATGACAATGAAGTGTGCCCTTCATCCTCACAGTGATATTGACACCTATCTACCAAGGCAAACAGGTGAGCGTGAAATGTTGCAAGTACATCAGAGGGTTGAAGAAGAAAAAATGGCTTTGGAAGAATATCTGAAAGACAATGATAAAGATACATTTAAGTTAGTACACCAGGAAGGCTTACTGACTACTGGAGAGACC